CTGTTTCCTGGTCACAAGCATGTGTTACCGTTCAATTAACTTTATTGTTCTCATTAGTACATGCTTCCCTGCCAGGCTTCTCGCCTCAGATACATTTCACCCTTTCAGGCCTGACTTAAGCCTAGGGGGTGAAACCTGTGACTGGGGAGGGGCCTATGGGGGTTGTATGTACTGATCTGAACAATAAAGTTCATTGTATGGATGGATGTGGCTTCACTAACATTGAATGGATGAGCCCTTCAGTGGTTCTGTAATAATTATCTAATATGGAGCACAAAATGTCTGTTTGACCTGCTAGCAGATTTGTGCTCCGGACCTATAGAACTAGATAGGTTGTAATCTATGTGTGAGATGTAGGGGGTCAGGACATCACCAGGTGTGTGTGTAATATTCAGTATATGTCGTACTATAGAAGACTGTCGCACACTGGACATATTTCAGGAGATGTTTAAAGATGGCAAATGTGCAACAGATGTGGTTGGGCATGTGGCGCAGGAGACGGTCACAGACGGGGGCACAAGGAGCGGGAGACGGTCACAGACGGAGGCACAAGGAGCGGGAGACGGTCACAGACGGAGGCACAAGGAGCGGGAGACGGTCACAGACGGAGGCACAAGGAGCGGGAGACGGTCACAGACGGAGGCACAAGGAGCGGGAGACGGTCACAGACGGAGGCACAAGGAGCGGGAGACGGTCACAGACGGAGGCACAAGGAGCGGGAGACGGTCACAGACGGAGGCACAAGGAGCGGGAGACGGTCACAGACGGAGGCACAAGGAGCGGGAGACGGTCACAGACGGAGGCACAAGGAGCGGGAGACGGTCACAGACGGAGGCACAAGGAGCGGGAGACGGTCACAGACGGAGGCACAAGGAGCGGGAGACGGTCACAGACGGAGGCACAAGGAGCGGGAGGCGGTCACAGGCGGGGCCACAAGGAGAGGGCCAGGGATGCTCCGTGGGAGGTGACCACAGGCTCCTGCCTTTCCAAATCAGTGATCCCACTACTGGCTCCTGAAGTCCAAGGGCCACACAAGTACTCAAGGGCTGCAAGTTGGGCAGCAGGGTTCTATATTTCAGATTCATAGTGATGCACATGTCATATGTATATTTTATGTGCAGTAACCTGTGTTGCAGATCTTCATGGCCTCTCTGTAAACATTGTGCTAATCCATTTATGTCCTGTGGTAACAATTTAACGTTTTATCCGTTCTCCTGACTTGTCTGTCCAGACGTTTGCTTTGCTCTCCTCCTGGTCATCTAACCAGTGCAGACCATTTTTAAAAGCAGTCATCGGTTTTGTTCATTCCTCCTTTTTCCGGGAGCTGGCTGTTTTGCTCCCCGTCTATCTAATGCATTTCATTCACAGAGCTCACTGACCTCCAGTTAAATCTCATTAAGTGAGCGGTTCCTCTGTGTGAACTTCTATCATGTTCGGGGCATTTACAGATGACTTGCATTTTCTCTGACTGGTCTCTGGCTGAACACTTCTACATTTTCTGGCTCCTTGCACATTGCTCTGAAGGCGGACTAATACTGATCCAAGCTGAAGATCTCTATGCCATTGAAACAAGATGGGGGCTTGAAGAAATGTATGATCTGGTGTGGACATTTATTGTACCATAGAATGTCTGTATGATCTTTACACATGTATATTTATCCTTCCTCAGATAATGGAATGAGCAGGAACAGTATACCTGCTCATTTCATATAGCTGGAAGCATCAGTTCAGTACATCTGACATTGTCACCTTTTATAAAGAATGATCTTTCCCAAGTGTGGCATGCTGTGTATTGCTGCTGCAGGTTTTAGATAGAGTAAGGGAGGGTTATAACTAGGGATGCACCGATAACGATACCAGTATCCGTACCGATACCAAGTATTTGGGCGCGTAATTTATTACATCATAAATTCACATGCATTTTAAATGTGTACTTAGTGGTGTGTCTGGAATTCCGCCTTGTCTATGTCATTAATGTCTGAGATGCTGTAGCCCTTTATTATAATGTGACCCAGCAAAGCCCTGCAAATCGCATGACGGTAATTTTTCTTCTAATCCAGGAAAGAACAGGCGTCTGAAACAGGCAAAAGAGGAGGCCCAGGCCGAGATTGAGCAATACAGGCTGCAGCGAGAGAAAGACTTCAAGGCAAAGGAGGCAGCTGTATGTATTTGGCTGGTGATTTAAAGAAGGTTTAATGATGGCTGTTCTATTAGGAATGTCATCTAACCCGAGAGTAACATGACGTCCTATTTTCTACAGGTGATACTTAAGCTGGCCATACACCTTACAACCATCACACGACTTTCATCTTGCGAGGGTTGTAAGGTAATTAAAAGCTCGTACGATCTGCCCATCTTGGACAGGCAGATCGTACTTGCGATCATCGTAAGCCCGCCCCGCTGAGGGGAGGGCTTCCGATGACTGCAATGTTGAGTGGGCAGTGTGCGCTTGCGCACACCGGCCGGTGCGGCATGTGTTTTTACGAGCACGCCACAAACCCGCCGAAAATGGTACGATTTTCTGCTGCTTTTCCAACGTGCTAGTAAGACAAAAGACGTGCGACCGTACAGTAGAAACGGTCGCACCTGCCGATTATCGTACGACCGTGGGATTTCCTGCGATTATGGTACGATAATCGGCAGGTGTGTGGCCAAGTTACATACTATATACTTAAATTGGTACAAAGAATATCCATTGCGTTCAACCAATAGAGAAAAAAAAATTAATACATAAATAGAAAACCTTCATAAACAGCCCCCCATGGCCACAGTTGATCCAGAGGAAGGCAAGGTATACAGCTTTAGCCCTCTCCTGCAGGCAGGTTCACCTGTGTTTTTTGTTGCTAACATTAATCTATTCCGGTGAACCTGTTGGCAGGAGAAAGCTACAGCTCTATACTAGGAGGCTATTAGCTGTTTTACATATAAGTGCATATCAGCCACAATACAAGGTGAGGGACACCATATACAGACTTCTTGCTCTCTTTGTACTCGGATGGTTCCTCTTAGAAGCAGTCCCCATATATTCTCTTTTAAATATTTCTTTCATTTGATTGGATCAGGATAAACTGCTCTACATTAAGATTTCCTGATTTATTTATTTTTTAATGATCTGCTGTGATGATCCTGGTGAGTGACTTTTTGTTCGCCTGCTGGATGTGAGGTGTATGCGTCTAGTTTTTATGGAAACTTAAAGGAGAACTATGAGGTGAGTGCTTTTCACTCACCTCCTAGTTCTAGCCGACCTGTGACAATGAGACTGTCACAGGTCGGCTCAGTAGATCGGGAAGTGAGCGAACACATACCGGCATTCGCTCACCTCTCAATCCTGTCACGGCTCTGTGCCGTGACAGGGGAGGGGCTGAATTCCACCCCCTCCGATCCGCCAGCGCGGACTGGCGGAATGGACGGGGGAGGGGTTGGGTACAGCTGGCTCTGCCTCTAGATAGGCAGAGCCAGCTGTCAGTCACGCAGCTAGGCGGATCACCGGCATAATTGTCGGGATCCGCTGCGGCGTCTCAGTATACCGCGAGCTGTAGCTCGCGGTATACTGAGCCTAGGGTGAAGGGAGGACGCTAGTTTGCGTCCTCCCGTTACCCTAAGGAGAACTATGGGGAAAAGCCTTAACCCCCATAGTTCTCCTTTTTAAGGTAGTAGCAGAACCTCCTATCGTCCTGTTTTGATGTTTTCTTTATTCAGGTTCCTGCATAAGCCCAGTGATGCCTGGTTCTATTTTCTGGTTTTATTTCGTCCTACTGTGCAGTTAAAATCTCAGGGTGAAGAAAAAATAAAACTCCCCCTGCAGTTGGGTTATTTCCAACGCCCCTTCCCCACACCCCCCTTTCCCACTGCGAGGGTTAACTGCTGGTTCTTGTCAAGGGGGATTCTGTAAAGCACTTTTACTTACCTGATCCCCGCGCCCGTCAGTTGGTGCTCACCTCATCCCTCCTCCTTCCCAGCTTATAGACTAGCCCTTGGCATTCTTACATATAATGCAGGGCTATGGGCCCTGCAGTGTTCGTGTTGATATAAGTTTGCCCCTGACCGCCAGAGTAAAGGCGGGGGAAGAGGCTGCAGGGGCTGGTCTTGGAGCCTGCAGGAGAGGGGATCAGGTGTGTAAAAGTCCTGTAGACAGATTCCCTACACATTACCTAGCAGTTAGCCCTTGTAGGTTGGGAGTAGCCCCACTTCAAGGGGATTTTTTGTTTTTTTTTTGTGTCCCTGGAGATTGGCTTCAAGTGTCATGTGTAGAGAGACATACAGTAGAGCCAGATTATTATATTGTTTAAAGGCTAAGTTCACCTTATGACTAAAATAGACGTTACCATCAAGGACACCCAGTAGGTTAAAGTACACTGCAGTTTTGAAAAATATTTCTTAAAGCATTCCCCCATCTTTGCTAGTTGTTGCTAAGACAAGCGCACAGGAGCAAGCACTCTGCCTTGTTCAAAAGCCACGCATGTGCAGTGCGCTGTACACCCCGTTGTCATGCATAGAGAGCACACGCCTGGCTTTTGAACGAGGTAGATTGCTCACTCCTGTGATCATGGGGGGGCAAGCACTCAGTATCTGTCTCATCCTGGCACCCTGCCAAGATGGAGAAATGGTAACAGTATGGGTTTACGGCTTTACCGCTAGGCTAAGAGAGGCCGCCTACAGGTATTACATTAAAGGAGAACTATGAGGTGAGTGCTATTCACTCACCTCATAGTTCTAGCCGACCTGTGACAATGAGACTGTTACAGGTCGGCTCAGTAGATCGGGAAGTGAGCGAACACATACCGGCGTTCGCTCACTTCTCGATCCTGTCACGGCTCTCTGCCGTGACAGGGGAGGGGCGTTAGTCTATGGTGTTTTTGGAGAGTTCCCCTTACTTTTTGTCTGGGAAAACATTGGCAGAATAGGAAGTTCAGGGAAATCTCTAACAGAGCCCTGAGTAGCAGTAACTCCCAACAAGGGTTCTAACCCTTCTCCCTACTGTAAAAACAGGAGAGAAAAGGTTTTGGCTTTATTAAACTATAAGATGTCCTTTATTTCTGTTTGGTTTATCTAAAGCGTTGCTGTGGTTTTTTTTTGGTTTTTTTTTTTAGGCTTTGGGCTCCCATGGAAGCTGCTCTGAAGAGGTGGAAAAGGAGTCAGCTGCTAAGATGATCATAATCCAAGAAAACTACAAGCAGAATCGAGAAATTGTTTTAGAGCAAGTGCTGTCTCTTGTCTGTGACATAAAACCAGAAATTCATGTCAACTATCGCTTCAGCGGCTAGGGAGGTCCCATGTCATTGAGGGGGTTGTCCCCCGCCTCCTTTATTGCTGCCATGTTATTTATTGTGCCCTGGCACGTAAAATAAGCCCTTTTCCCAAATTTAGCACCACCCCTGTGCAGTCTATGCAATCTAATGTCTAGCGGAGGAAACCTTTTGTGGGTGCCAGGAGGACAAATATTTTACCAAGAGCCTTACACAGAGGGTTACACTTGACTTAAGGTTGGAATCATTGCTATGTGAAAAGGGGAAGCAGCAGGCAGGAATTTGCGGTACGAGGGGGGTTGGTGAGTCGTCTGTGTTGTAGTTTTAAGGAAGGAGCGAGTATTAGTCAGATTTCTACTACTGGTTCTCTTAGTTTGCTTTATTCTTGCCTGCCGTTTAGAAATAAAATGATTTCCATTTTCCCTCATGACCAGCGTATTCTGTGAACAGATCCATTTGTATGTCTTGTCTAAGTAGGACATGTTTTATAGGTTGTATAAACGTATGCCTGCTCTACTCTGCTTGTCCAGCCTTTGCTTAACCTCTTGCCGTCCGCCCGTAGTAAAAAAACGGACGGACGGCACTGCAGCATCTGCGGGTTGCCGTCTCCAGACGGCAATTTTTTTCTGCTCGCGCGCGCCCCATCACTTAACCTCCATAGTTCGAGCCGACGTGTGACAATGAAACTGTCACACATCAGTTCAATAGATCGGGAAGTGAGCGAACACATACCGTCACTCGATCATCTCCCTGCAGATAGCCGTGACTGTCACTCACGGCTCTCTGCAGGGGTTCTCCCTTCTCCGGTCCTCCAGCGCTGACTGGAGGAATGGGCGGGTACAGCTGGCTCTGCATCTAAATAGGCAGAGGCAGCTGTCACTCACACAGCTGGGCGGATCTCAACAGTAATGTCGGGATCCGTCCCGGCTGCGGTGGTCTCAGTATACCAGCGAGCTGTAGCTTGCGATATACTGAGCTTTGGGTCACGGGAGGACGCTAGTTTATGTCCTCCTGTGACCCTTAGGAGAACTATGGGGAAAAGCACTTACCCCATAGTTGTCCTTTTAGGCTGGCCTTACACCAGTAGAATGTCGTACGAAAAAAAAAATGTTTTCGGAATATTCGATTTTTTTCTGATCTTTCATTTGGTCAATTCTCATTTTCAACCGCAGTGATGAAATCAGTTTTTTTTTATTTCACAAACAAATGAAATTCTAACAATGTGGTTTTCATTTGGTAAACATTCCTTCCAAAATCGAATGTAAAATGAAATTGTGAAGGACATTCGTCAAGTCTCTGATTTGTATTATGGGGGTACATTACTGCACAGAAGGGTTACTGTTCATCTTCAAATCCAGTACAGAAGTGATTAATCCAGCTCTCAATTCCAAGTTCTAATACTTTATTATCCACATACAGCAGCTTACAAAGGACACAATTGTGGTCTGTGGATAATAAAGCATTGGAACTTGGAATCAAAAGCTGGATTAATCACTTTTGAACAGTAAAAAAGATACCCAAGGTTCAAAGGGTCAGAGTTCAGTTTCTAAAAACGGACGTCTGCCATTGACGGCTTGAATTTCAGTGGATTTGGCAGAAATTGTGCAAAGTCTAAACCATGGTTGGCCCTCTCTGCACCACCAGCTCTGCACCACCAGCTCCTCAAAAGTAGATTGAAAAAAATCAAAGGAGTCGGGTGGGAAATTGTCTCGGCTATTCAGACGGCTGTAGGTGCCGAGTGTTAGAATACAATGGCCAGCAGTGGAACTTCTACCATCCACTCTCTGTAGTGTAAATAAAGAACTGAGTGTCTGAGGCTGAAAGAGAGAAATATAAACCAACCTCAGCACTCCAGCTGTTGTGGAACTACAAGTTCCATGAGGCATTGCAAGACTCTGACACAAGCATGACTCCCAGAGACAGTTAGGATGGGATTTGTAGTTTCATCACAGCTGGAGTGCCGAGGTTGCCTGTCCCTAGGCTAGGCTAAGGCTTTAAAGAAGTGGGGCTACCCCCGAACTGAAAGGGTAAAGTGCTTGTTTTTGTCTAGGTGCTTAAAATAAAAAAGTTATACTCCCCTGAAGCTTGAAGCCGGCCAGGTGTCTCAGCGCTCCCTCCAGTCTACTCCACTGCAGCATTGCAATGTTCTTTAGTGTCTCCATGTCTATACAGTGTATAGAACATGATGATTTACAAGTTCTCAGATCAATGCAGAGGAGGGGGAGAGAGGCTCCAGGGACCAGTCTAAGAAGATCAGGTGAGTATAACTTAATGATGCTTTAAAGTGACATTAAACTCTTAAATGACCTCTGAATTGGTGCTGACACTCCTTCCTTCTGGAGGGTGGCTACTTTTGTTCTCCATGCCTGGTCTCTGTGTGTGTTGTAAAGTAGCCACCGCTCCAAGTTCACTCCTGTGATGGACTACAATCTCAAATAATACAAATTAAGTCCATCACAGGAGCGAGCTTGGAGCGGTGACTACTTTACAACACACACAGGGAGTATGGAGAACAAAAGTAGCCACCTCCAGAAGGAAGGACAGTGTCAGCACCAATTCAGAGATGATTTGAGGACCTACAGCCGAGTGATACACAAATAAGATACATTTTTGGTAATAGGTAAGGTACTTGAGTGTATTTTTAAGATTTACCGTATTTTTTGCTCCATAAGACGCACAAAGGCGGGGGGAAATGTGTGTGCGTCTTATGGAGCGAATCCCTCATTTTTGTACATTTAGCCATGCTAAAGCAGAGCTAAACGTACAGTGGAAGCCGGTGCTCGTTTAATACCAGTGATCTATTCAGATGACTTGTATTCAAACCGAGCGGCGGCGGCGCCCCCCCTTCGTCTGCTCTGTGTGATCACTGAGACCGTGGCGCTGTAATCACAGCGCCACCTGTCTCAGCAGTCACTTACTGCAGCTTCTGTCACAGAAACTGCCTGCGTTTTATGTACCGGTGCGCCTTTTATAGAGCGCAAAATACGGTAACTCCTGAGTTTAGTGTCACATTCTAGATAATCTATCACATGGAGAAAGGGAAAAAACTGCAGGTGTGAACTACCTGTACTTGCAGTCGGAAGCCTGTCCACTTTTCCTGTCATGGCCGAATGCTTAGCCATTCTGACAAGAAAAGTACCAAAACCCCAGGGAATTGTCTGAGCTTGCCACCAAGGTCCACCGCCCCACCTCCATATCGGTATATTACAGATGAGCAGTTTTATTGACCAATAGGAATGTGGGTGGAGTAAGAAGAGGAGGGCAAGCTTCATCACAAAGCATGCAAGAAACTACCAACCTCCCATGACATTTTCTCAAACTTGCAGCAGTTTGCCCCCAACCCTACAGTAACAAAGTCTCTAAAAACGAAATGTGTATTTTTCTTTTTAATTTAATAGATGAAATATAATTCTAAATGAGCTGATTGGTGACCGAGCACACACATGCACCAGTGACTTCCCACCTTGTGTGTGTTTTCTGTCAGTGAATAAGCAGTGGAGCAGAAACGAGAGTGCTTGCCCAGATCTTACAGGTTTAAAAAACAAGTTGGCAATGACCGCTGGATTCTTAACATTTCCGACAGGTGTACACTGCATTATGCCTGAGCTACATGGGCACTTTTTAGCTGATACTTGGCATCCCTAAAATCATCAATTAGTCCTTGTTCACAGGGGCTTCAGCTTGTATAGGAGCAGTGTGTACAGCAATTTGTAAAGCTTCAAGCAGCTTTGTTAAAGCCTTTAAAGAAAACCTGAGTTCCGTTATCAGGGTGTTAAACATAGATCTTAACGGGAGTGCTGAAGCCTGCCTGTAGATTGTTTAAAATGGCTGCCGGCACTCCAGTAAGGATCTGTGTTTTAAATGTTTAGTCCACCTATTGCAGGAATTTTTAGATGTAGCAACACTGATGATTTGATCAATGTGCATTTACTAATTTTTTGCAATAATGCCTGCAGAGCGTTGCACTTGTGATTGGTGCGTCATGGGTACAGTGCCCAAGTTCTTTCAACATTCTCCCCCAGCCTCAGGTCTGTATGAAGTTCTGAGGCTGGCTACTGGAGACAAAGGAGGTATCGCCGGCATGGTCTGCATAGTCCTCTGCCATGGTGGTAGACAGGACATGTAGGAATTTACTGTAAACAATCCCAGACCTGGATGACACAGCTGTGTAGCTGGATCTATGTACAACAGGGGTCTCAAACTCAATTCACTTGGGGGCCACTCGACAAATGTTTTTCTCTCATGGGGGCCGCTTGCCAAATTTCATATTTTAAAATACAATTTAACGGTATCCGGTATGGTACTACGGACCCCAATACACACAATAAGGCCCAATTCATATCTGTAAGTTCAAGCGTGATTAGGGATTCCTGTGTCAGAAACTTGCGTTTTCCTGCAGCAGGAATCACTAATCTGGTGTTTACAAGCGGCAACTGTCACCCATTCAAGTTATTGATCAGCTGACAGCAGTTGCATGTAAAGGCCTGCACACCGCATGTAATGGTATGTGATATGATTACATGCAGTTAGAAAACACTCTCCCTCGATGCACAATCATTGCGTCCTAGGAGAGTGATTGATTCCTAACCAAACGGCAATCATATCACATACCTTACCTTAACAAGAAAAATAAAAAATTACCTATAAAAGAATACACCCCCCCACACATGAAAAAATACACACACACACACACACACACGTGTGTATATGTATAAATATATATGCAATCCTAGT